TGGTCCACTGACCGAGCGCGCAGTTGTTTTGATGGTTTTTGATGCTGCGTTCGACGTTCTGGTCGTAAAATACGGTGTTGTGAAACGTGTATATGTTAACGTTAGTTTGTGAAATCATTTCAGATTTGAAAAGTTCTTTCAGATAATGCTCACTACGTTATATTACTGACTGCTTAAAGTGAATTATTTTGATATGCGGAGAAAATATCTGCAAAATAATCGAGTTCTGTGGGAGAGTTTAAAAAAGAAGTTAAAACGAATGATTATAAAAATAATCGTCTACAAAAATTTAAAGCGTTTGAAAATGGCCCGTGAACATCGTTTCGTGGAAGGAACCAATCCAACACTTACACTTTATTGGGACTCCCATATTGAGGGATCGAACGCGGTTATTGAACAAACAATATCAATTTGTACTATTGTTGATATCGTTCTGTCCGCACTGCCTGAACCAACCAAATATCAGGTTAGCGCGCCGTTCTTCTCATTTTGACATGATAATCTCCTAGTTTTTGCAATTCATGTCTGTTTTATTTTCGAATGTATGCTTTTGAAACTTTATCACTGTTTGACAAATTTCAAAGTCTTACGGAAAAATTTTTGTTGATTCAAGGCAACCATTAAAGCGCCAGCTAGTGGGATTGATACGGGTTCGTCACTTTCTGAAGCCATTACGGTTTCGGATCGTTCATAAACAGTGAACAAATGAAGAAAATATTGGATGTTGTTTCACCGCATGCGTCTATGTTAAGTTGTTTTATACGAGTTCCCAGATTGAAGTTATGATATGTGTTTCGTGTTATACGTTACGTAATTTTGTCGTTTAATTATTTTTAATGTTTTTTGTTTTCATTGTTACCGTTATTGTTTTGATAATTAGTTATTGTCGTAACCCTCCTCAGGAATGGCCTCATCTGTATTCGGGTTTAAAATATGATATTATTAAAGATCAATCGTTTTAGAAGCAACATTCATTAAGCCCTGTGTTCGCGTCTGCTTATTTGTGTTGTAATTATTTAAATGACATGTTTTATTTCGTTTTTATATCATGATTGTAATACATTTGATTTGAGTTCCAATCATCAGTTAGAACACTTAATAACTTTAAGCAACTTTTAAACGATTATTCAAACAAATTTGTATTTAGTGACTGATTCGTTATGCACATTTTTATGTTCCAGTTTTTCGATTGTATCTCATTACTTTCGTTGATCGAGTGATTGCAGTTGTGATACATAAGCAGTATTTATTTCCGAAGTGCAATTTTATCTTCATTTTGGAGCATCTTATCAAGAAATGTGGAAAAACTTTCACGTGAAACATGCTTGTTTGTTATTCGAATGCAATAGATTAGAAATTTCTCCGAATCACTGATGAATTATAGTTAAATGAGAATGACTGATTTGATTGTGAGGTACTTGCGAACGGATTTGGCTAAGATTGCTATCGGATGAGTTCCACTTAGGTCTTTCTGCTTATTATCTCATTTTATACCACATATCACTTGCGTCTGTCTGTTGATATTTGAGTCTGGCCTCGTACTTTATCCACATTATTAGTTGTAATTTGTTTCGCCTCCATTCATTGGTTGTTGTTTTCGCCTCCTCGAATGAGTTCTGAAAATTTTCTTGGGCATTACTTTCAGTGGATTTTTTTGATTGCATTGGATTGCTTCCGTTAGCACTGTACCATCATGTTTAATTAATCACTCGAATTCTGTTGTACTTTGAGATTTTAAATCACTAAACATGTGAATATCCATTAATTTATTAATTATCGTCGTTCAACTTCAATGTTTTAAATGCATCGTGACGTTGATCTTGTATTGGTTTGTTATTTCGTTTGCATTTTTCTCATCTGCACTATTTAATATAAAATCTGTAATTCGTTTGTTTGTATAATATTTTTATTGGTTTGTTATAAGATTACTTGGGATAATTGTACGTTTTATTGAGTTTTTTTTGAAAAATAATCTAATAAAATGTTTCATTACATCAGTGTTATTGAATCATACGTTCAATTCAATGCAAACAACTAACTGAATCGTCTATTTGAGCTGTTCGCTTCGATCAGCGTGTATACATTCATGTTCCAAATGAGAACATTTCCGATTGGAGTAACAAAATTCTGGTCATCTTTTTTGTTGAAGTGAAGTTATTTACGTCAAGAAAATTCATAACTTAAGTGCAAGCAATTGTCACAATTGCTAATTCTGCTCGGAAACAGTGTTTTTCTAATGTTGGTGAAAACAAACCTTGAAAGTTCAGATGTGAATTGAATTGAATTCTGGATTTCCGAAGATTGCGTGAATTTTTTTCGGTTTTATTAATTTATATTGTGAGTTGATGTTTGATAAAAACGAAACGTCTGGATGACCGAGTTTTTGCTTTTTATAGACGTCATGAAGAATCGATTTTCAACAATCGATGTGTTTGCGGTCATTCACGATTTGAAACCATTGCAAGGACTTCGGGTGACGAATGTTTACGATGTTGACTCAAAAACCTATCTGATTCGCATGCATATGTGAGCATTTTCAATTTCGAATTTGTTTTATAGAGTCGAATCTGATTACATTTGGAGGAAACAAAAACACTCATTTGAAAATTTTCATGAAGCTGATCATCGTGTGACATTTGTTTTAAGTGAGAAGGCACAAATGAGATCAGAGCGATGAAGGTTTACTTGAAGAGCGATTATGAAGAAGAGATCTTTGGAAAATGACGGTGATCTGATTTGTAATGTCCAACGAATATGTTGCGATCAAGAGAGATGTGTTTTTATGAAACAGAAGTTGAATCAGTTCACACAGGCAATTTTGATAAATTGATGAATTGTTTCAGACCCGATGAAAAATGTTTCATCATGTTCGAATCAGGAATGCGTCTGCACAAAAGTGGTTATGAATGGCCGAAAGCACAATTTCCGTCATCGTTCAGTATGAAACTTCGCAAACATATCAAACAGAAACGTCTGGAACACGTTCAACAGTTGGGCATCGATCGCATAGTTGATCTGCAGTTCGGTAGTGATGAACGTGCATCGCATGTGATCATTGAGTTGTACGATCGTGGCAATGTGTTATTAACAGATCATCAGTATACAATCCTGAATGTGCTACGACCGCGTACCGATAAAGACACTGATGTTCGATTCTCGGTTAAGCAGACGTATCCAATCGCGAATGCACGACAGTGCTCTATGCAACCGTCAACAGACGATTTATGGAATATGCTCAAGAATGGCAAGAAAGGCGATTCACTAAGAAGAGCACTCGCACCACTCACGCATTATGGCCCGGCACTTATCGAGCATTCATTGCGTTCAGTTGGCATTCCGAATAATGCACAGGTACAATGATTCGCTTTGTTGTTGCTCTTGGAATCGTATTTGCTCATTTTTTGAATGATTTCTCAACGATTACTACGCAACAAATGGTTCTGTGATTTGCATTATGCTCACGAAAACTTTGTTTGATTGGGCAAAATAATTTCTCCTCTCAATTTTCCAGTATCGGAAGATTAATTCAGAACGCTACGTTCAGCTTAGATCCGCACTGGATTCAGAGCTGAGCAAAAGGCCGAAGACGCTCAAAACATTTTCTTTTTCAATCATCCAACCAGTCGCGCTCATCTTCCACAATTCCCATTTCACTTAAAATTAAATATCATTTCTCTGCTAACGTTAGTATTGAATTATTTTCGATTGTTTTTGCTGACAAATTTCAGATCGGTATTCATCTGTCA